TATAAGGATTCAGGGAAACCGCAGGCCGGACTTGAGTCCTGGAGTTTGGAAGTACAGTGCCTGCACTCTGAGGAGGGTTTTTAATTTGCAGTTAAAAAAGGGTAGTTAAAGCACCCTTCGGCAAGACAGGATGAGTAATGATGGTGAAAGTTTTTCTTTTTCGGGCCACCCTGCCTTGGTGGGAATCGGCCGGTGTGATAATAAAAAAAAAAAAATATATATACGATGCATGACTGTCATAGTTGATGATCTTCTATCTGATCACTTCCCAAGACTAACAACATCTCCAGCAATTAAGAAGCTAAATTCAGAAGGAGGAAACTTATTCTCAACCAAGAACACAGAGATAACTTTATTAACCACTTGGATCAATGGTATAAGAATTACCAGCCCACTGGCACACAAAAATTTAATGATGATTTAGTTACCACTACTGAGACTGTCCTCACAGATCAAGTGGGCAGGAAAGGGAAACATAGACCCTCCACTATAAATAACAATAAAAACCAATGTAAATACTATAATGATCCAGAGCTACGCAATCTAACACATGCAGCAGCTGGGAGGATTGGTAAAGCATACCGTGAATGTAGAACCCCAGACCTGCTCAGAACGTTCCAAGCTGCACTAACAAATGCAAGGAATAGAAAACAAAAACTTAGGCAACGGGAATGGGAACAGTTTTTTAGCGGATTAAATAGGTCCACACCCTTTAATTTTGGGCTTGGAAAGGTATAAAATAAAATAACCAAAAAAGACTGGCAATGCTGCTCATTCCCTTTCCTCTTGAAAAAGCAAATGACCTCATAAATGAATGGACCAAAACATCCAGGCATGAAAACCTTCCCATCTCATATTAGAAAAAAATAGAGAGTACTTCTGAAGAAATGTTGAAACTGATTATTTTAAATGAGCCAAAATATTGATGAGAGTGATTGCCTCTTCACCGAGTATGAATTGGAAAATGCATTAACTAAAGGTCGATCAACTGTTTCCTGGAGAGGATGGTAAACCTATGATATTCTCAGAACTCTAAGGCACGTGCCTGATAACTCTTTGTTGGCACTGTATAATCTCAGTTACATTGAGGGCGTTCTTCCTACTTCCTGGACCAATAGTCTCATTGCGCCTATCCCTAAGCCCCAACAGCCTGATACATTTAGACCGATCTCCTTAACTAGTTTCTTTGTAAAACCTTTGAAAGAATGAACTTAACAGACTGTACAAACGAATCAGACACCAACTTTCCCCCTACCTCTAGGGGTTAAATGAAGGTAAAAGTGTGCAGAACTGGATTTCCACCTTTCTCCACTGCATACACCTCTACTATTTTTTAAACCACTTTTCTTGTTTCAAAATCTGCATTTGATATTGCGAACAGAACCGTCACACTACATGAACTAGCCAAAATGAATATTGGGGTACTTACCTGTTGGGTAATAGATACCTGTCAAACAGAGTATCCTCTGTCCTTTATCAAGGCTTTAGAAGTGAGTCTAAAGAAATGTCTTTAGGTACACCGCAGGGAGGAGTTCTTTGTCCCATCTATTTAATATTCTGATTAATGCTCTCCTAATGCTCCCCACCTGCCTCACCTAAACATATAGCTATAAGCTATGCTGATGACATCATGATACATACAACAGGGCATAAAAAGATGAGCACCATTCTTAATGAAGTTCAAGCAATTTGCAGTCGACTAGGCCTCATAATATCTTCCTCTAAAACAAAGATATTAACAAGCAAACGACATCCCCCACCCATCTATTTGCAGGGTGAAATCATTAGCTACGTTAAAACCTACAGACATCTTGGTGAAGATGTACCCTTTAACAAATCCACTATACCACAATTCAAAGCTGTTGCTGGCGGCAACCCCAACTATGGTGCTAATGTGAGAATCGTGAGAATGATGTACATAGCCTATGTTAGATCCTTAATTGATTATGATGCTCCCATGTTGATATTAGCTAGGGAAAGTTCTCTCCGACCCTTGGAGTGAATGCAGAATGAAGCTCTCAGAATTATTTTTGGGAGTCCCAGATCTACAAAGGTTCTTAATATGAGGAAGGAGCTTGGTATTTCTAGTATCAGTGATAGGATTGTTGAGATTAACACTACACGGTATTAGAATGTTGAGAAATGAACCAGACTCTGTCAAAATGAATCTTAACCAAGTGTCTAGAAGTAAATACACACAGATCTAAATGGATTGTGAAAACGTGCAATTGCATTAAGTTTTATAACCTGCATGAACTGTATCACTGGAGGCAACAAGAGCATTTCACCCCTCCATAGAAGATGTGTTCATTTAAAATATCACATACCTGCAAGTCCCTCCCAAGAAGCTCATTGCTAGTAATCCCTTCCTTAAATCACTTGTTAAAGCAACTGCTCAAGAAGAAATTTCTCGCCTAGCTGGTAGTAATAAGTTATCACAAGTTATATACACTGATGGATCTAAACAGGAGTCTTCTGGCAGGGCTGCATCTGCTCTTGTTGCCACCTCCCTAGTTAAGAACGATAATAAATTTGAGTTAGGCATAAGAACTTACAACTGGGCGTCTACACTGCAAACTGAATTGTTTGTAATCCTAATGGAGCTAAAGCTAACCTATGACACCGAGCTTGACTCTATCATCATTACTGATTCTATGTCATCACTGAAGGCTCTTGACTCATATAATGACTCCAATAACATGCCCATTGGAGAAGCCAGGTATAGATACTAAAAAATCAGGGAAAAAGGAATTAATGTACAGTTGCTATGGGTCCCATCACAATTGGATTACTCCTTCATGATACAGTTGAAAATTTTCCAAGAAAATACCCAAAGGAGAATGGAAAAAATTTAATTTTTGGGATAACTGTTTCCTAGCATTTTGGAATAATATTAGAAAAGAAGTAAATAAGAAAATGATTTTAAGGAATGCAATTAGAACTTTGGGAGATCTATATCCACTATGATAAATAACTAGATATTTTTACAGAAAGCCCCTTATTGTACAAAAACCGGGGGGATCCCCCCCGGGATGGGTAAAAACATTTTGGGCGTATGTTGGTAGACAGCAAAAGCCCCGGGGAGGTAACCAATAGTGAAAACGGAAAACCTGTACTTTACTGATGGAGGATTGCTGGTGTCTTCTTGTTTTAAACCACAAATTTCAGGGAGGTTTTTACTACTTTTACTTACACTTAGTCAACTACATGACATAATAACGACATACAAAAACTGCGTGAAAAGATAAGGTGGGCAAGAGTCTCGACCCTGCAACCAGGGATTAGGGAGTACATAAGTCAAGAAATTAATTTTATGATGTATATTATATATATAAATAATATTTAAACGATTATATATATATTAAATAGTAACAAGTTGCGGTTTTAGTGAAGTGGCGGAGGGCATCAGGAGCTGAGTCTCGACCCTGAAACCCACGTTTAGTGATACATATATGTACAAGCAAATATATATTATATATATATATATATATTATATATATATATATATATATATATATATATATATATATATACAGTAATATATATATATTTATATATTATAATTATATATATATATATATATATATAATATATTATATAATAACACTCCTCTGGGTTTTCTTCTATTTTCTTATGGGTTCTTTTCTGTTTTATTTAATTAACTCTGTATACCTTATTCTAGTATATATCCTTTATATATAATCTAAGATATCTTACACTGTATAATAAAAAAGGTATTAAAGGACCTCAATGGTAAGAAGTTTGTCTGACTTTTTTGTGTTATCCCAGGTTCTGTACACATATGCTGCTATGTATGATAATCTATGTAACTGTATTTGTATATACCTGAATAAACTTACTTATGTGTTTCCTTAAGATACTTGCTGCCCATGTTCACCTATCAGCAAAATAGGTACCTGGGTGTTAGTTGATTGGTGTGGGTCGCATCCTGGGGACAAAATTGACCTAATGCTCTACATAACAAAGGGGTTTCTGTATAGTAGTATGTAATTGATGTCAGTTAGGCCTGTATACCTTGTACATGTACTTGTAGAAATAAAGATTATTTTTATTATTATTAGCAAGTTATACAGTTCTAATTATATAAATAAATAAATAAATGTATAATATATACCATGAAGGCCTCCTGCTGAGGTATACATGTGACAGGGAATTAATATTTGATTTAGATAAGTTGATACGGTGGTTTGGGTGAAGTGTACGATAATGTTTTTATTAAAGTCCATTCAGAGGAGAGGAGTCAGGAGGCGCAGACGCGACCAGCCAGTCTGTCTCACAGTATCTTGATCTTGCTGCTCCTGCACTCCTGTTTCTATCTTCACAGCGATGGGAGAGGACGAGAAGGAGGTGCAGGTGGAGACCAAGCCTAGTACCAGAGTATTCACGTTGGCTGAGGTACTCACTCACAAGAAATCTGATTCTTGTTGGATCGTCATCCACGACAGGGTGTACGACGTGACCAAGTTCTTAGACGAGGTGAGTACCACTGATATACTTACCATGACTGATGATTCACAAGTGACATACTAACTGCACGTAAAAAAACATTCATAATCGGAGGTAAAAATATTCATAATTGACATAATTGGAAGTAGAAAAGCATTCAAAATTGACATATTAATTTTAGATAAAAACTAGAGGACATTCGGTCATAAACAGGATTTTATGACGATTCGAAATAGACGATGTAGATTTAGGTTTAATTTATACAGTGTAGCAGTTACTGGCCCATGTGTGTGCTTTCCAGACTTGTACACTTTTTTATAATGTACCCATAACCTTCGAGAGAATAAAAAATCAACCCAAAAGGTTTCATTCATGTACTATATATAGATATGATGTTAGTACGGAAACATAGGTTTATTTAAATGTAACTGGGGTCAGCTTACTATTAGTTACAGAAAAATGTACGATTGTTAACATATTACCAGTTTTTACACGAGTATGTAGGTGTCTTGTAGATTGATTGCTAGCTCACTCAGAGTGAGTTGAGTTAGTTTAATATGTTTATTATGCACCCCATATCCATCCTGTGGGCGGTAGTCAAAAGATTACATTAGGTACATAATGGATCCAGAGACTGGACCCCAGAGTTTTGATAGCTGAACAAGGTATAAAGGTAATGAACTCGAGTGCTCTGCTTTGTTTGTAATCTTGTCATTACGGTTATGTGAGTCCAGTTACGGGTGGAAACATTAGGACGGGTTTCCTTGAGACACCTGCTGTCAATGTTCACCTATCAGTAAAATAGGCACCTGGGTGTTAGTCGACTGGTGTGAGTCGCATCCTGGGGACAAGATTGACCTAATTTGCTCGAAATGCTTTCTATATAGTAGTATGTCATTGATGTCAGCTAGCCTTGTATACCTGGTACTTGTAGAAATAAAGATTATTGTATTATTATTATTATAAATAAAATTCCAGAAATCAGTCATTATACAGGTCATGTTAGAAATAAATTATGCAAAATCAAATTAATTGGTGACATGATTCTCACACAAATATATTAAAACCAAACAAGTTACAGGGCCATGATGTACTATTTCAAAAGTTTTAAAGGAATCTGAGGAGAAACTTAGCAAACCATTAGCTGGTCTCTGCAGTGAATCACTATAGATGTTCATTGTAGTGGATAATAAAAAATGGCAACCCTAATATATATTATACCCATTTGCTAAGCTTACCCTCCATTGTGAGAAAAATTGATGGAATCAGTAATTGCAGATGATATTTAAAGCCAGTTAGAAAGTTGTAATTTTATCATGACTCTCAGCATGGTTTTATAAAGATGTGTTAAGTAAGTTTTTGTTAACTTATAACTCCCGTCAAGGGAGGTTCCTTGATGCTGGTAAGTAAGTAAGTAAGTTTATTCAGGTATACACAAATACAGTTACATAGAATTATCATACATAGCAGCATATGTGTAGAGAACCTAGGATAACCCAAAAAAGTCAGACAGAGTGACTTATTTCCATTGGGGGTGAGGGGCTCTTGATCTTGGGAATTGAATCTGTGCTCCAGTTCCCTGAATTAAGCCTGAATACCTTCCATCATCCCCCCCCCCTCAAGTGCTGTATAATCCTATGTGTTTAGTGCTTCCCCATGATTATAATAAAATAATTAACTTATAACTTGGCTGACTTTTGCAGCTAAGGTATTTGAGGTGGTAGGTCATGATGATGAGTACAGTATTGTGTATGTGGACTTCAGTAAGGCATTTCCACACAACAGACTGATTAAGAGACTTACAGTACAGTAGGAATAATCTGGTTAGATAAGAGATAAGATAAGATTTCGTTCGGATTTTTAACCCCGGAGGGTTAGCCACCCAGGATAACCCAAGAAAGTCAGTGCGTCATCGAGGACTGTCTAACTTATTTCCATTGGGGTCCTTAATCTTGTCCCCCAGGATGCGACCCACACCAGTCGACTAACACCCAGGTACCTATTTGCTGCTAGGTGAACAGGACAACAGGTGTAAGGAAACGTGTCGAAATGTTTCCACCCGCTGGGAATCGAACCCGGGCCCTCCGTGTGTGAAGCGGGAGCTTTAGCCACCAGGCCACCGGGCCACCTCATTGTTGACTGCTAGGCACCAAAGAGTTTGCATGAATGGGAAGGAATCAGGATAGGGACCTGTTACATGTGGTATGCCACAGGCACCAGTATTGGGACCCTTGTTCATAATACAGTGGACCCCCGCATAACGATCACCTCCGAATGCGACCAATTATGTAAGTGTATTTATGTAAGTGCGTTTGTACGTGTATGTTTGGGGGTCTGAAATGGACTAATCTACTTCACAATATTAATTATGGGAACAAATTCGGTCAGTACTGGCACCTGAACATACTTCTGGAGTGAAAAAATATCGTTAACCGGGAGTCCACTGTATATATACAGTGGAAGCTTGGCTTACGAGTGCCCCAACGTAAGAGTTTTTCAAGATACGAGCAGTTGCTGAGCGCAATTTCAAGATGCGAATGGGCCTCGAGGGAGGTTCCTAGATGCTGGTGAGGGGCTCTTGCACTTGAACTAGGGAATTGGATCTCAGTTGTTTGTTGGACTATCTTATTGAAACTTGGTCAATGTATGATGGAATGATGCTTCTTAACATACATGCACAACAGAATTGAAAGAAATCGGACCATAAATAACGGAGTTCACCTCTCAGCCATTAACCACTCCTTAGTGTTATATTTTTGTATGGTTTTTATGGTTGTATTCTCATTTTTTTGGTGTCATTTGATAGAATGGAAGATGGTATAAACCTTGGTGATCAAGGTCCCAGGACTGAAGTGTTTTCTAATAAATAGAATGGATGATATATTACAGAAATAGATATGATTTTGATTGGTTTCATGACGAAAAGTACCTTGAAATTGAGCTCGTAATAGCAGAAATCTTCGATTCTTTGGCGATGTTCAAGAGTAAACAAGTGACACCACCATCCAATACCTGTCCAGTTGGCCATTCCAATATGCAGTCATGAATAGGTTGACATTATTTATACAATTATTACAATAATGCAGTAGTCTGCATAACAGTAAATATTCTCTTTTTTGTGTGAATAAAAATTCCAAATGGTAAGCAAGAGTATTATTATAAGAATACATATGTACTAATAAATAATAATAATAATAACATATAATAATTACAGTGGACCCCCGCATAACGATTACCTCCGAATGCGATCAATTATGTAAGTGCGTTTGTACGTGTATGTTTGGGGGTCTGAAATGGACTAATCTACTTCACAATATTCCTTATGGGAACAAATTCGGTCAGTACTGGCACCTGAACATACTTCTGGAGTGAAAAAATATCGTTAACCGGGGGTCCACTGTATATAATAACATACATAATATAAATTAATATAAGAATATGTACATACTGATTAATAATAATAGTATAATATTAATAATACATATAATAATAATACATGTATAATAATAATATGTACTATAATAATAATTATAATAATAGATTATAAGGGAGTAGTAAGGGAGAAAAAGTTAGCATATGAGAAGTTTTTTACAAAGTAGAAGTGATGCAAGGAGGGAAGAGTATATGGAGAAAAAGAGAGAGGTTAAGAGAGTGGTGAAGCAATGTAAAAAGAGAGCAAATGAGAGAGTGGGTCAGATGTTATCAACAAATTTTGTTGAAAATAAGAAAAAGTTTTGGAGTGAGATTAACAAGTTAAGAAAGCCTAGAGAACAAATGGATTTGTCAGTTAAAAATAGGAGAGGAGAGTTATTAAATGGAGAGTTAGAGGTATTGGGAAGATGGAGGGAATATTTTGAGAAATTGTTAAATGTTGATGAAGATAGGGAAGCTGTGATTTCGTGTATAGGGCAAGGAGGAATAATATCTTGTAGGAGTGAGGAAGAGCCAGTTGTGAGTGTGGGGGAAGTTCGTGAGGCAGTAGGTAAAATGAAAGGGGGTAAGGCAGCCGGGATTGAGGGGATGAAGATAGAAATTTTTAAAAGCAGGTGGGGATATAGTTTTGGAGTGGTTGGTGCAATTATTTAATAAATGTATCAAAGAGGGTAAGGTACCTAGGGATTGGCAGAGAGCATGCATAGTTCCTTTGTATAAAGGCAAAGGGGATAAAAGAGAGTGCAAAAATTATAGGGGGATAAGTCTGTTGAGTATACTTGGTAAAGTGTATGGTAGAGTTATAATTGAAAGAATTAAGAGTAAGACGGAGAATAGGATAGCAGATGAACAAGGAGGCTTTAGGAAAGGTAGGGGGTGTGTGGACCAGGTGTTTACAGTGAAACATATAAGTGAACAGTATTTAGATAAGGCTAAAGAGGTCTTTGTGGCATTTATGGATTTGGAAAAGGCGTATGACAGGGTGGATAGGGGGCCAATGTGGCAGATGTTGCAAGTGTATGGTGTAGGAGGTAGGTTACTGAAAGCAGTGAAGAGTTTTTACGAGGATAGTGAGGCTCAAGTTAGAGTATGTAGGAAAGAGGGAAATTTTTTCCCAGTAAAAGTAGGCCTTAGACAAGGATGTGTGATGTCACCGTGGTTGTTTAATATATTTATAGATGGGGTTGTAAGAGAAGTAAATGCGAGGGTCTTGGCAAGAGGCGTGGAGTTAAAAGATAAAGAATCACACACACAGTGGGAGTTGTCACAGCTGCTCTTTGCTGATGACACTGTGCTCTTGGGAGATTCTGAAGAGAAGTTGCAGAGATTGGTGGATGAATTTGGTAGGATGTGCAAAAGAAGAAAATTAAAGGTGAATACAGGAAAGAGTAAGGTTATGAGGATAAAAAGATTAGGTGATGAAAGATTGAATATCAGATTGGAGGGAGAGAGTATGGAGGAGGTGAACGTATTCAGATATTTGGGAGTGGACGTGTCAGCAGATGGGTCTATGAAAGATGAGGTTGAATCATAGAATTGATGAGGGAAAAAGAGTGAGTGGTGCACTTAGGAGTCTGTGGAGACAAAGAACTTTGTCC